AATATTCTAAATCAAACACATTTTTCTATAAACTGCACGCCGATTTAAAGTTTGTCAAACTTGAAATGTCATCATAAACTAAAATTGGAAATAATATTTTACAAATTATATTACTAAATATTATTTATAAATTACATCTTAGGATATAATTTCCATCTTGGAAAGCCGAGATCCAGATTTAAACTTAGCTTAGATGATATTTTTCATAATAAATTCTTTGCAGTGTTTTAAAATGTAATTATTAGCATCATTATTAAAGTTGATCAATATTATTTGTGATATTATTTCCAGCTTCAATTTACATTTCAAATCCAACGTATCGAATCGATGCGCAATTTATAAAATTGAAAAATATATTTGAGAATTTAGATATGAATATTATTAAGCATTAAGAGCCGCTTTGATCAAATTTAGAATTCTTGACCTTTATTTTTTTTTCTTGTTCTTTCTCTCTTTATTTATATTATTTTATCGATCGATTTTTCCACTTATTATTGACATATGCATTTTATTCGATTATTTTTATAAAAAGAAGAAAATTTTATTACTTTAACTATATATATATATATAGGGAAAAACAAAAAGGGACGAAGATTACTCTTATAATTGCAGATCTATTTCGGCGTGTGCGTGACGATATGTGTAACCGCGAGTTGGGTTGGCGCGACTCATTGTATTAAGTATTTGTACTTTCGTAAATCAGATAAGATCTCGGAGACGTCCGAATCCGTAAATTCCTCTGTGAGCGGATTTCATCATCAACATGTAAGTTTAGTTTCCTTTAATCTCCTTTTACTTTTTCCTCTCTCTCTCTCTCTCTCTCTCTCTCTCTCTCTCTCTCTCTCTATCTCTAACGAGATGATGTTAAGGTAATTATTATCTTCAGATCATTCTTCCATACGATGCGCCCTTCTTTACGACGTGGTTTTGTACCAATTGGGAAATCTTATACTTTCCGGTATATTTCATTTGTTGGGCTGCGAAAACCAAATGCGCCACCCCTTCAGAAATAATAGCCGAAAGTCTCCGCGGTTTCCGTGATAAGGGTTTCACTGGCGGCCGCTTCTTAATTAGATGCAGCCTTTTCTGCAGCTTATGGGTCATCACGAATTATTTATATATACTCTCGCTGAGAATACTGCTAGCCACGGACGTGATGGCATTATATGCAACCAATGTGTCATGCGTCTATCTACTTTCGTGGGTCATTCTTCATGAACAATTCGTGGGTGTGAGGGTGAGTAGATGTAAGAAAAAAGTCGTTCAATTTTTATTCCAAAATCCAATTTTGTTGTTAAAATTTTATTTTACTTATGTTAATATATTAATTTATTAAATACGAAAGTTACTTTTATGAAGAATATTAAATCTTTTTATAAATCTAACGTATAAATAATGTTAAAAAATTTTTTTTAATGGCATTTTTGTGTATAACATATTGGTACTCTTACGTATCTTTACGTATATACAAATATACGTATAGCTGAAATATATTCTGCATGAACTTTGTGTATTTTTACAACATAAAGTTTTAATTTTATTATATTAAACTCAACATAAAGTTTTTCTAATTATTTACAGATAGTCGCGGTGATCCTCTGTAACACTGGTATTGCGCTTTTAGCTTACATGGACGGAATAACTGGAAGTCCAACGCTAGGAGGTGTCGTTTTAGCTACAGCAGCGGCAGCTGGCTCTGCCGTTTATAAAGTAAGTATAATATCTTGTGAATTATATTGCAATTAAATAAAAATATTAAATTTTTAAGAGCATTTTGTTCATTCAGGTCCTCTTTAAGAAAGTAATTGGAGAAACTACGTTCGGCCAAATGTCTTTATTTTTTTCTCTTATTGGTTTATGTAACGCCGCCTTGTTATGGCCAATTTGCCTGGCTCTGTATTTTTCGGGAGTAGAAACCATACACTGGGCAAGATTACCTTGGGCAGCTTTACTCTCTGCCAGCATCCTCCATTTAGGTCTGAACTTATGCTGAACTAGATTACTATTCAATATAACATCCGTAACGAAATGTAATTTGAATGATTTAATTATTCACAGTTGCGAATATGCTCGGCAATTTCAGCATCGCGCTCACCTACGACCTATTCATTACTCTTGGATTAATAACAGCTGTACCTGTATCTGCTGGTAAGTAAAACACACACAACTATTATTTTTAAATAATCAAATGACTATTTTTAATAATCAGTAATTACACATTAAAAGTAAAGATCTGCGTTTATAGAAAGGATGTAGAATTTAAAAAATGGCTCTTATTTGAAAATATAAACTTTGAATATAATATTAATGAAATTACAAATAAAGAATTATCTCTTCACAAGAATTATAGTTCCAAGAATAAATCGAAAGAAAATAAAATGTAATAAATATATCAATGGAGGGATGTCCTGTCCCGATGACCATGGCATATCAAGAAAATTATTAGCAAAAAAAAGTTTGAAAAATGATGAATTTCTTTCTACTAGATTTAAAAAAATATATTTTACTTTCCACACGAAATGAATTCCATATCCCACCTTTCCTCCTGTCTAGGAGCGTTCGACTTTTTACGCGAAACAAGAAAAAATCATTACGTCTTTTAGCAGAGAAGAGGGGAGGTGGGATGAAACTCACTTCGCATGGAAAGCTATTACGTACACAGGGCAAGGAAGATTGTTTTTAAATATTGTATGTGGCAAAAATAAGACGTCATTTTTTAAACTTGTTTAATAACTTTTTAACGAATAATGAACGGCTAAAACCTTAGAGGTTTTAGCCATTCAGGATCATAATTTGGATAACATACATCAATCTAGCAAATAAGAATGGATTAAAATGGATTGAAATTTTTTTCTATCCGAATGTGTATTTTAAATAGCGAATACTTTTTTTGGGATTCAATTGGATGCAATTGGATTGAAAAACTTTCCTATTCCTATTATAAAATTTTGAATTGAACAGTATTCACAATGTACAGAAAAAGCTAATATCATTTTTAGATTGAAAGGCTCTTTAGAGATATGTTTCATACAATTCCTATAAATGAATAAAAATGTGTTCAGGATTGAAAAGCATTCATTTTAACATTCGTGAATCAATATTTCTGAAAATCTGAATCCATTTCAATTCATTTCAATCCATTCTCGTTTGCTGGGAAGGTCAAAGTTATCTCTCCATCGGTATATTTACTTAAAATATACAAACTTTTCGATCCTTGGTTTCGATTCTTTTCAACACGTTACAGATAAATAATTCAAACATTACATAAATACTTGTAATGATAAGACAGATATTAAAAAAAAGTTATCTTTTTATTCATTGTTATTTATAAAATCTGTTGCTTACTGTTAATCGTTAATTTAATTGTGCAGCATTGGACGTTATTTTTTATGGAGCGTACTTCATGGGCATGAAATTAGCAGGCATGATCTTCATAGCGGTGGGTTTCTTCCTCGTAATGTTCCCGGATAATTGGCCAGATTATATAACAAGACTTCTTCGGTATGTTTTCTCAGTTTGTATTTTATATACAACGCGTTTCTATGGTATGCACTTTTAATTCGGAGTTCATTTAATTTATCTTTTAGTCTTTAGTTTCTCTAGCAAACTCTTCGTCCGTCCAAAACAATTTGTGTCTCTCTCTCTCTCTCTCTATACATCTACTTTACTTTTGCAACAATATCGAACTGTTGTCTTTTACCTTATTTGGCACCAGAATAGAAGCAGCGCGTAGTCTCACTTAAGTAGGATATGCTTGACTTACTTATCCATATGTATATATATATTATATATACGTTTATCTATTATATTGCCTTAGTTTTGACGATTTTTTCAAAGCGTAATAAAATATATTTTATAAAATACGCTTTGGTAAAGTAACATAGAACTTTTCCTAGAGAACTTTTATATGCCCGTCTTCGCAAAACGTACATAGTTTCAATAAATCCCTCTTTTGTCGCGAAACCTGATTAAACGCGCGATGATTACGAAAATATAGGAATCTTTTATGAATTTATTCTATTATATTATTTGCAATCGTTTTTTTGTTTTGGAAATCTTTAAGTTTCAATATGGATTTTGCGTTTAAACAATTTTTACAATTTGTTTTGCGTCTCATCAGCCTTTACTTCGCAGCTTCGCAGCTAAATACATGCGATGACATTTTCAAATCATACGAGATAAATTTTGTTTTACTGCATAAATACAAACCTAATTATGTCGACTTATGTCAAAGCAATGCAGTTTTCTTTCGCATTTAGAGGCAACTTGAGCACATCGTCACGCTTTACATAAAAATTAAAAGCTAGCACTGATTGTTTTACAGGATGGAATATGCAACAGGTTTAAAGAATAATTAAATTATATGATAGCAACAATACATATAAATAATAATGACAATGTAACCGACATAAAAAAGCTATTTAGTGCACTTTATATATTTTTTTCTAAACTAGTGATACATTAATATTTAGATGCATCATGAAATACATTAATTAATATAAGCCAAATTTTTAACTTTTCTTATTCAATTTTATTATTTTGAAAGCAATTTTAAAAGCACTCTGGTGCGTATTTAAAATAAATTTTGTAATTTTATATTTGTTATTTATTATAATATTTTATATGATTATGTGAACTGCCCCCGAGTTCCCCACAGTTCAAACATAAATAAATAATGTTTTTTAGTATTATTTTCATATTTTAATATTTGAACATTCAAATTCACATACCAAATGTATTTGAATTGATGGAATTCGTTTACAAACTAATAAATTTTTTAGCTTTTTATTATATAAGAATATTATACTTTATTTAAATACTATTTAAATACTACTTTTTTATTGTTAATAAGAATTATGCAAAAATATATGTGATGATATTTATAAAATTATTTATTAAAATAATGTAATATATTTTTGGCAGTTAAAGAATTTAAACTGTTTAAAAAAAAAAGAATTAGGAGAATAAATGATTTAATTAGCTTAAGTTGCTTGTTGTATTATCTTTGAAATCGATCATTTCATCACTCGCTTCCCAACAATCAGGATCCATTATATGCTGTTACAGAAACGTAGTCCTCATGAGTCACAGTACAAGGTAAGAAAATACATCCCATATGTCTTGCTCTGGTCTTACTGAAAATTCATCCTTTCTCTCAATAATTAATTTAATTTACTATTCAAGTAGTATAAAATTATAATAAAATAAAAAAGAAATCTCTATATGTATAAAAAAATAATTGAAAATAATTGTTAAAATCAAATATGACTTTATAAAAATACTTAAATTTATATAATAAGAAGGTATATTAATTCTAACGTTTTTCGAAAACGATCATGACGTACAGATATTACTAACACAAAGATTCATGTCTGAATTAATAATTAGAATTTTTGCATATAACAGAGATAAATCATTATTTACGGAAATAATAAAAGTAATGAATACATTTATAAGAATAAGTATCATTTTGGTCATTTGAGTCATTAATTCACTTGCGATGAATTTTCTGTAAAAGAGCAAATGATATAAATGTCAATCGGCGCATGATTTATAACATTTTTTTCTTCTTCATTCTGCATGCATACGTTTAAGCTTGGCGTACTTTTCATTGGCTTATTTTTTTAAAGCAAATCGGCATGCCTCTTCTTTACGCTTCTTTTTTCCGACATTATTTTTCTTTTGATCATTCTGTTAGCTTTGATGCATTATGTGTCTGTATTAGCCATTTTTATACCAAACCCCTATTCAAAATTGGATTGTAAGGCAGATTAGATTCAGAATTAATTCTGTTATTGCCCTCGAAAATCTTAAGAGATTGCTTGTCTTAACGATCGTACTCGTAAAGCATCCTAGAACGGTGTACCTATTATTTTACACTCAATATACATATAATTTAGTCACGTGCTCTTGTTTGTTCGTCTATTACCTCATCTGATTAATTATGTAGTAACTTGATCATAGAAATCTTGCGACATTTATTGTAAATTATTTGTATGCAAGCCATAATTTTTTTATTTAAAAATACCAATTAATTTTTCTTTTAGAAAAAAGGTGAGATAAAAAGATAAATATTTTTTTGAAAACAAAGAATAATGAACGGAAACCGATAAAAATAAAAATTAGTATCGTGTGCATAACTAATAATTACCAAAGAAATAAGCATTGATTTCCGTTCTAACAGCATCAAAAAAGACTAATGTACGTATTAAATGTATAAATTAATTCAATGCTTTCATGTTTTATAACTCCTTTTGAAATAATTTGTCGCCTTTTTACGGTTTGTAAGTGTACCACTAAGTAATTCTCACTTTAGATTTGTCGTATCGTATACTTTAACATGCTCCTACATAAATGTGATATGTATATATTATGTATACATATATGTTACTGCAGTATCCAATCATTCAATTATAATATAATTAATAGCTTGTGCTGAAAAACTGGAGAATCGCTAGATTTCTATGACAGATGCTCGTGTCTTCCACCCCAACCTACCCTAAGAATTAACGTGAGCATATGGAGAGAACATATAGATTATAGAGTCTTTAAATAAGAAGGAAATCCGCGTATCGAAATATTCAAGCATCACGCGATAGTCCCTACCGATTAAAAAAAAAGACCAACGAGACCGCGCTGCGAGACATACTGTCGAGAAGAGCTACCGCAGGTCTACCCCCGTACGAAGATAATCGAGAAATCGATTTATGAGAGTCTCGGACTTGATATATATACGCAGTACCACGGGGGGCGGCCAGCAACGCGGCAGCAGGAATATCCTTAGAGGTCGCAGAACATCCCTTCAACAACGTCAGCACCGTCTGAGGAGCTACGGCGTTTCTGCCGCGCATGGAGATGGTCAGACGCTGTTGCCGATCAGCAATAACAACAACAACAACAACAATAGCACCAACAGCAGTAATCAGCCTGCCATTCTTCGACATGTTAACAACAACCCTCAACAATACAGCTCGACCTCTGAAACCCAATCACGCCGTGTCCTTCCTTCTACCTCGACTTCCATCACCTCGACCACCACCGTCGTCAGCAACAGCTATTCGCATGATCCTCGTAATCAACATCAAGGTATGAGAACAATCAGGCTGGTGGCGAAGCCACGTGTGACGCGGTAAGAAATCAGGTAGGAATCAGGTGCAGGAAGTGATCAAGATCAAATCGAACGTGATCGTGATAGTTGGCTGGCGACGAGTAGCACCGTGTAGAGTTTTGTTTGTAACGCTCGAGGTACGAATATGCTGGGTAACTGAGCAGGGATTTGTTAGTGAGTGGCAGTCGCAAATCATCTTGAAAGCGCTGAATATTGAGTTGCATAATGTTATAATTGCTATTTAAGCTAGCGCCTAAGTGATTAATGTAACGTAGTATAAACGCCGAACGCTAATTGCAGGTATATACAGGGTATTTTAAATTAAGAGAATCTTATTTATATTTCTTTTTAGTTAATTCAAAGTCTTCTATCTATTTTACATATCTATCTATTTTACATATGTATAATACTTTATTTTTTACAATATTAAGTATTTTAATAAGAAATAACAAAACTTAAAATTATGGTAAAAACAGAATTTAAAATTAAAGAAAATAATAAGATTGTCTATTTAAACATTGAAAGTTTATTCTCTATTTATCTTATTTTTTTTTAATTCAATAAGTTTTAAATATCGAAGTTTTCATATTTTCACACAGATAGATGTGTGTATAACTTTAAAAAATGTTTAATAAAAAAGTATAAGTTGTAAGGGGCCCTGTATATTGATATGAAAGCATATGCGTGTGATGCGTGCAATGAGGAATGCCTTTATAAAATTATAAATTCCTTCGCATCTATTTATCTTAGCTCATAGTGATCGATCTGTTTAGTATCCTGTTCCGAGAATGTTGCAGGTATTCGTAAATGTTACAAGTTATTTTTATTTTTATCGTATACATATATCGTCCGTGTTTCCCATATAAATTTTTGGAATGATGCATAGTGACATGTGTCATGCTGTTCGATATTCAATGATATAATTATAATTGTTGTCATTCAGTTTGTTAAATGTATATTTTGCAAAACGAAACGGGCAATCCCATGTAATTAATTATATATTTGGTTATATGTATATTTATTATATAAATTCGATTATATTTGATCAGAAAATTTTTTGCTATACATTAAATAAGACATGATAAAGTTATATAATATTTCCATGTAATGTAATGGGATATCCGTGACTTTTTGTATTGGATATAAATTTGATTTCACGTGGTGATTTTCTACAAATACTATAATATAATAATAAAAATAGTAGACATAAAAAAATTTAAATAAAGATAGGAATATAATTCAAATTTTTTAATTTATACATTTTCAATTCAAGAAATAATATGATAAATTAGATAAATTAAATTTATAGTTTTTTGTTTTTGAAATATACTATAATATATGTTAGTGTGATCCATTTTTATTAATTCATTATCTCAAAATCTTTAATTTTAAGACAAAAATGTTTTTTAAAAAAGTTACAAGAGGGAAAGAAGATGGTGATTGTGATTGATCTTGAGAAGAGATGTTCTTCTCACATACATACAGGTCAAGATTATCTAAAATTTTTTAATGGAATTATATATTTTTTATGTAATATGATTTTTCTTTATAATATTATTTTACATATAAAAATATTAAGATAGAGAGATATCAAAAAACCAATAGTTTACAAGATATTTTATACTTTATTCTGACAAATATTGATATGAAATATTTTAAATATCTCGTAATTATTGATTTTTTATTTCTTATAAATTAATATTTTAACCTTATAAATTAATATTTTAATTTAAGATATATATGTAAAATAAATAGTGAAATCGTATGTAAACAATATACAGGATGTTTGATAAGTAACGAAAAATCTTGCATAGGAATAGAACGGACTAAACTGAGTCGAAAAATTCTCTATTATTTTGCAATTTTTACACAATAATTAATAAGATATTAATTTACTAATAAAAATCATCAAATAGAGCTCTAAGAATTTTTTCAGAATTTTTTATCAATTTTTTAGTAATACATTTTCTTATATTGGCAACTATTTTTATCAACATGAGAAAATGCGGTACTAAATAATTCTGAAAAAATTCTTAAAGTTCTATGAGAAGAAAATAAACAATTTTTGGCACTTGATATTTTTCTGTAAAGATAATACTTGAGTAATACTTGAGTAAAAAATTATTGAAAACCAATATTTGACGATTTTTAATAATTAATATTTTGTTAACTATTGAAAATTGTAAAATGGTCGAAGACTTTTCGACTCAGTTAGTCTCTATTCTTGTGCGAGAGTTTTATCATTACTTATCAAACATTCTGTATATAATTCCATTAAAAAAATTTTAGGTAACTTTAATCTGATCTTAAAGATATCTTCTTAAAGACAAAATCTTGTTTCTCACTTGTAACTAAAAATCTGAAACATTTTTATCTTAAACTTAAAGATTTGGAGATATTCTATTAGATATTCTATTGGATTGATTAAAATGGACTATCCTGTATATAAACAAAATATAATAAATAAAATCAAATAAATTTATCTTGTATTGTGTACTACAAATTAAATATGAAAGAGAATAGTTATAATATAGACAAAATAGTATTTGTAGTCTTGTATTTTTTTTTGTGATTGTGCATTGTAATTAACAATGAAGGATACTAATGTTGGGAAGTTTCCACGTATCTTTCCTGTCGAATTGGCAAAAAAACCGTGTTTTGCATGTTGATTGAAATTTTTAGGTAATGATTGTTAGAATTATCATGAATAACATAATTTTCATTTGCAGGTGGAGCAGGAAACACAGGCACGGCATGTCAGATGGATCGTCGCGCGACGTAATCGATTATCGAACCGGTTACATAAAATCGCACCTACGCTCACCCTCGGGTAGGGTTCGGTGACTAAACACATGGAAAATTAAAGTAATAATTAAGGTATCATGGCAGAGCATAAGCCTCATTGACTCGATAGCCGAAGTTATCAATGAGGTATAAACACAAATTCAATCAGGAAATAGATTCTATCAGTACTTTTAAATATTCCTTAAGACTACCTTGAAGTAATTGTGTATTCCATTGTCCGTTCCATCAACTATATTAGCTATTTAATTAACCATTTTCTATTTACCCCAACTTTCTAATATAATCTCTGGAAACGAACAGAGCTTGTATTACGATTAACAAATACAGGTAAAAATAAATCTGTCCATAAATTGAATATTTTTTGATCGAATACTTAAATTTCTTAATTTATTTATAAGATTACTAAGCATTTTAACAAAATGTCTGCAGTTGAAATTAAATAAATTATTTTAAAATCTTTGAGAAGCTCATTGCTGAAAAACATCTTGCAGAAATATATATTAACAAAAATAACTTATATCCTCTTGTTGATGTTTTCTATTCTTTTGCTTTGTCATTTCCTAAACAGCTATGATCAAAGTATTCACATATTGGATTTAAATGCGTTGGAGATATCTCTGTGGTATTATTCATGATACATTAACGTACATATTATTGATGTATGTATGATGTATGTGTGATAACTGTAGCTCAATTTAGCACGAAAACAAATTCAGATGACATATAGTCAATCGACTGTATTTGTCTAGATGTATCCCATTATAGAGAAGTTCGAGAGGATTTGTTATATTACGCATTAAAATAAAGACGACACTTGCAATTGTTAAAATATTGATAAATCCATCTTATGGATTTATCGCGTGTTATATTATCGATAAAAAAATTCAAAAGATTTGTCAATTTCAATACGTTTCTAGATATGTCAAAAATATGTTAGAAATAATTTAGATCAAGACACCTCTCTCTCTTCATTCGGGAGTTTCACAAATATCACAATATACATTGTCATTAGTGGAAGTTACAAACGATATTGAATAATATATAAAGACAATCAAAAATAATGACTCTGAAAATTAACTCAGAAATTAACTCTAAATACCATTTTTCATCTCTGAAGATATTGTTGGTCCTAATATAGATGTTATTTGTAGAAAATGTATCATGATAAAATTAATGATACAATGTTTCATCGCATTTGTAAATTGTTGCAAATGATTCATAGTGATATTCTTATTCCACGGAATTAGCGTAATATTAACAGGGTTGATAGTTTTATTTCTATTCTAACAATAAATACTCTTCTTAATATAATGTTACAACAGTGTCGAAAGTTGTGGCTATAGTCTATAAAATGAGAGATATTTAATATGTCAGAAATACTGGATATGTGACAGCTCAATTTATATATACATATATATATATACATTGTTCCCATGTTATATTTCACGAATAAAATTAATGTAGCAAAATTTGAGGATTATTAAGGTTCGTGATCAGCTTAGAATCTGTTTACGATGAAACTATTAAGTCGTTAAATTTTAATAAGTATACCTACGGAAGTTTCACTCACCGATTTTATTAAAACTTTACATATTTGTAAAATTTTGAAAAATATTTGACACGTATCTTTTTTTATTGCAAAGATCCACTCTGAAGAACGAAAATTATCTCTTAAAGGTAAGGATAGATTTAACATATATTATAGTGAAATAAATTGAAAATCTATATTGATGGTTTCGGTTACAAATATGCAAAGTTTCATTAAAAAAGTGACACTTCCGTAGGTTTACTTGTAAAAATATCTGTATACATAAACTTCTATAAACAATTAAATTAACTCTTATATTGATAGTAAATATATATTTTTATAAGTGTTACATACGACACATTTTCATAGAATTATTTTACACACATCAATTATTACTTTTCATTTATCATCTTATATCAATAAATAATTATCTATTACTAGATACAATTTTATGTACATAATTATGACAGATACTATTTACAAATTTTTCAATTAACTATACTAACTTAAATATACTAACATTTTGTTTAAGAATAAACCGAAATGTATATCAACAAATTTATTTCATTTGTACATATACATATATTGTCAATTACACAAAAGTTAACACATGACAGTTTGTAACTGCCATGCTAATTATAATATTTATCATACAAATATATTGTAATATAGATTCTGTAGTTTAATATATAAGATACATAAGAAGAATATTATGGAAATATTGTGCAAATATTGAATGAATGTGTCAATAATAAATCTAGTTTAGTAAAAATTTACTTTTATTATCATTCTTTTTATATTATGCTTAGAAAAACTGCAAATTAATTTAAAAAGCATTTGCAAATGTGCAAAACTATTGGATTTCATTGCAGAAACTCTTTCATGTACTTTTGCGTACCGGATGTATCGGATGATTCATATCGAGTACTGGTGGATGTTTCTCAAAATAACTGATTTCTCGCATTCCATTCGCCGCAATTTCCCAAAGATCAGGATGCTTCCGTTTGAAATTGTCATACCATTTCATTACGTAAGGCCAAGCATCCAATTTGAAGTCAATGGCTTCCAGACACATTGTCGCGGTTATCAATGGAAAATCGGCGATTGTCAAGCTATCTATTAATAAATATATGTATGTACAACAATTTAACAATTAAAAATATTAATGTCTTATTTTATAATAAATAAATGAAAATAAATAACGA